CCCCCCCCCCCCCCCCCCTCAACACACATACACATCCCAGGGGCATTTATTAATTTATCAACATTCAATCATGAATGCTGCAATCTGGTAGAGTATATATATTTATATATTGTCTGTACCTTTATTTACTTATAGGGTTCTACAGTGTGTCTAGCTGATTTTTGTGACATCTTCAGATGTGATGTGTTTGAAAACCAGAGAAAAGACAACTTTTGGAAAAAGAAACTCTGCAAAGAAAACAAACTAATTGTTCGCAAAAAGAGATGTGAGGTAATCTGGAATATTTTTTGCATATGGGGAGCTGTTTCTCTTTAACCCTTTACACCCTAACATCAGTACAGATATTCTCCATACTGTTCTCTATACATTTCCTTAGGTTTTCAGGGAGAATTTGTCCAACAATTAAGAGCATCTCTAATTGGTGATCATTTCCTTTACTCTCCTGACCTTAATGTGTATTTCAGGGGTGATATTGTATAGAGAATATAGATTCTCACAGGGTTGACTCTTGTGTTTGTAATTGAACAGGTTTTTAAATATGCACGTAATTAGAAGAAACATGAAACCTTGCTGTAATTTTACTGTATGAGTCTATAATAGGCCATTTTTGATATATTAAAATTCTAGCATGGCTCTAAGGCTTGGTAGAATAAGACAAAATAAATTAATTATTCATCCCTCAACCTTAATGTGATTTCCTATGTTTTATTGCCCCAAGCCTTTGAGCCATGTTTGAATTTTAATGTACCAAAAAATGGTCCATTGAGTCTTCATTTGAGTCTAATAGTCATTGAAATAAAAGCAAACATTAACAATAACATTTCCATGAACCAGACACAATACATTCAACTGACAAAAGCTCTTCATTTGACTTTCAAGGAAGCTTGTTTTCAGGTTGTAACATTGTCATCTTGTCATTACCCATGACAGTTTTTTTAACCTTTAACTCCCAAGATATAATTGTTAATTCTCCCATTTAGCTGCTACACATGTCCTTGTAAATAAAATAAGAGAATTTGGCACAAGATCAAGATAACAACTACTATCTGATAACTTTGAGTATTCTCGTTACCTGTTTGCTGAACATTGTTCAGATATCACAAGGAGAAGTCACATGTTAATCACTTTGGGGCTTAAAGGGTTAAAGACTTAACCTCTATCTGAGTGATAACACCAACTACTTACACACAGTTAGAAGCTGATCGTTTTTCAATTATCATTGCAGGCTTTAATGCGAAGTTGCCTTCCTCAGGGAAATCTATCAGTTGAGGAAGAATTCAAACTATTTGGTGAGTTGCCTGCTCATTACATTCACATGAACACTGTAGTACACACTGCATTATTTTCATACAAGTTTGATTAGTCCACATTTAAATTTACAAAAATTCTAAACAAGTCGTGTTTTTCTGCTTATAGAGGAGATCAGTTCAAACACGTGTTCACTGTTAAACTGCAAGGACTACTGGGAGTTACCATCCAACGAAGTGAGTAAAGAAGATATTTTGATCACTGTTGTTTGGATTCACCTAAACATGCTAACTTGCGAGATCGTAGAAGCTAATATATAGATTTAGCCAGCCCTAAAAGCGGAGATCGCATTTTTTTTCCCGCACGTCTTAAGGGCATAACGCCTTGCCCCGGCCAGGACTAGAACCCGGATCGTCCGACTAGGAGCTCAGTGCACTGACCACTAGACTACAGTCTAGCGGTACAGTTGACCACGCATGTTAAAAGTAGCATCTTGTACGGTCGGTCGTACGGTCGTAAGTCCAAATTTTTTCGGCTTGATGCTTTACTACTATTTTGTATAATTATGGGGCTATGCTCTGCGAGCTCTGCTATAATGGTAGTTACGAAACAGACACAAAAAATTAGTGGTAGCCATATTGGATGGGACGAGGTATATAGATTAAGGTATGCGACAGTGGAATGGCAGAAACACAGCGATCAAACGTCTCCGCATGCGGGAAGGTTTTATGGAGTACGTGGCGTGCTTTAAGGCTGTCGGAACCAAGTTGCCTCACACGAGTTACAAACAGTCACATAAGCCACTAAGTCAAGGTGTTTCAAAATATTATAACTTTTGGTAAAACTAAATACAGAATGGTAAATTAACAGAATACCAATGCTTGAAAAAGCTTTGGCCGGGTTTGAAAAGTCTCGAGCTCATCTTTATCCACCATCTGTTCTTTTACAGATTTCTTTGAATGTTCCAATTTCCTTTCGCTTATTTTGCGAGACAGCAGTCGTTTCTTATGTTTTTCTCAGAAATTTTTCGCGGGAAATAGTGTGTGGCTGGTCAGAATTGATCCCCTCGCGCATGCCTGACGTTTGAACGCTGTTTTGATTATAGGAGGGAAGCGCATCCACCTGCGGGGTTGATCAGGAAAGACTATGAAAGAGACTGAAGAGCCAAACCAGATGGGAGAGTGAATAACACTACATTAATGGATATTACGATTAATAACGATGCAAAAAAAGGATGACTATACATTTTACCCAAACTATATAAAAAGGGCTGTTCGTGCAAAACTGTAATGTCTGGGTGTGACACGCAAAGGGAAAAAACCCGGGATTTTCTTAGTTACCACCTAAAACCAGTTTGTTACAGCTGTTACAGTTCCTTCAGATGGTAAGTAAAGGAATGACTTTTTTTGAAAAATGCAGGGATCAGTGTCTGTGACTCACAGAAGTTCAGTTTCTTTCTTTACTTTTTTTTCATGCTAAGAATCGACTGCAGGCGGAACAGCCGGCTTCTTTCAGAGACACTTATTTATGGATAATTTTTTTTTTCCAGATTTCTCCATGGAAAGTTGTCTTCTATGCAGTAGTAACGCCGTTTTTCTTCATGGCTCTTATTGTTTATTACTATGCTATTTGGGATTACTATTAGTAAGTATGATTTAACTGTCTCGATTGAATCACCTTTCTTTAACCCCTCAACATCTTAGTGGGATTAGCCTCTAAATTCTCCTTACAGAATCACCCTTGAATAAAGTGTAAAGGTCATGAGAATAACGGAAATGATCACCAATTTAAGAAGCTCCCAATTGTCAAACACATTCTCCCTGTCAGTACCTTAGGAAATGTAGAGAGAGCAGTGAGGAGAATTTGGATACTAATGTAGAGGTGGAAAGAGTTAATAGGATAGGAGTGCGAAGAGCGGCAAATTTTGGGCTTGGTCGTGGAATAGGAAATTGCTGTATCACAAACGTGGAACATAATGGCCGTGGGAGAATCAGCTATTTATCGGTTTTTTAGGAGTTTTTCTCTCCTGTTTTCTCTTTATGTGCGTAGGGGGAACTCAAAACACCAAACCTTCTCTCCCGCGGAAGATTTCCCTCCCTTTTGTTGGCATTCAGGAACACAATAACTCGTAGACATAGGGTAGTATAACAGAATTTCACATCGACAACGACGCCGGTGTAGCTTTTCAAGAGCTGCGTTCTCAAAACAAACCTGAGGACTGAATAGCGTCGCTTTCGTAGAACTCGCCCCGGGCTTACCGAGTAGTCTTCCACATCTGCATTCTGTTTGGGGTTTCTCACATAATTTTCTAATCAGAGCTTCTTTTGTTAAATTTGTTCCAGCGGCGATTACCCGTTGTATAGCAATATCGGGTCACGTGAGGAAGAGGAGAATGTCTCCGGCGGTTACGGATTGACGTCAACTCATTTGCGGAAAAGATATGGAGGCCGCGCTCTAATGTACTAGAGCAGCAAAAAGTATTCATAACTATTCTAGAGCTGGTCTTAATGCAATGAGGTCACAGAGAGGAGTAACATTTGAGCTTTGTTCCCTGGTTGATCTAGCAAAACTGTTGCACTACTTTAGAAACTCTACTAGGAGCAAGACTCGTGACAAGGGCGTAGCCGATGTGGGTCCTGCCAATGAATTGAAGAGAATTCGCTCCTCTTCGAGTAAAATTGAAGAGAATTCGCTCCTCTTCGAGTAAAATCGAAGCAATTTCTCTCAAGAGCAGTGACGAATAACGAAATGCTTGTAAAGGACATATTCGTTGATGGAGAAAATGTGTAATGACAGAACAACTAATGTCGTTAAAATGAAAGCGATGCCACCCAAAGCGTTAAACAATGGTCTCGCTGCTTTTAAAAATTTTGTGAAGGTGCCGAGGACGCTTGCAACCATGAGCGACTTTTGCCATCTTTTTCCTGTTCTTGAAAAATTGCTTGCCCCCCCTCCTCTTACCCTTGAGCAATGGTGACATCGGACTTCATATCAATTTCTCTACAGATAAACAGCACCGAAAAGTTCATTTTCCCACTTATAGTTTCGAGTTGTTAAGATTACGATGGTGTAGCTAAAGGGATTTGACGTTATTCATCAAGAATTCGTATTTCTTTCTTTTTGTCGCTTTTTCACTATTTTCTTTCGTTTTTACGCACATTAATTTCATCGACATTGTTACTTTTTTTGCATAATTTACCTTGGTTTGTGTCATTCGTACAAGTTCTTTACCGTAAACGTTACTTATTCGGCTTCATCGTCTATCTGGGCTGGATCGTTTTCCTCAGTCATTTTCTATGATCGTTTTTAACCAGCTATTTGTCCCCGGATATTGTAAAACGGATGTTGTAAGTGTCTTTTGTTGTCTATTATTTTGTTTTCTCGGTTGTCAATTTCCTCACCAATAATTGTAATAACTTGTCAATCGTTACTTCATTTTCGCAACTTCTTCGATTGTTTAGTTCTCATAAATACTTCAGTTTGTTTCGTTTGTTGGAATAAATTCTTGCTGAAACATTAAAAGAGTTACTTTGGACATGTACGATTGATTTTGGCATAAATTTACGAGTTCTTAACTACTTTTTTGGAAAGTAAGGTGTAGTTTTAAATGCTCTACGCAACGTTCTCTTGGTCATGAAAATGAAAACGAAACTAAGGCTTGGTCGTTTCAGCTGAGCCCGAGTTGATGATTGTTCTCAATAAGTTTTGAGCGGAGAGGAGTGGGACAGATTTTAAGTATCATATTTTCACCTCGGGACATCTTGGGTCACCACAATACATCGATCGTTTTTCCACCATGCGTATCAGTGCGTTAAAAACTGCAACGAGTGGGTCCGTTCTCACGGTTTTCTGTCCGGGTGAAACGAAAGTCTTTATCGATGCTAGTGATACTCTCTGCACTATCGCTTCGTTCTTTGGGTCTCACGATTCATTCTTTGAAACTACACTCCGATGATAAGCATTTTATCATAGTCCGCAAGGCTAATACATCAATAAAATATTTTCTACTTGAATAATTTGAAGCCAAATCTTCAGTGAAACACTAATTCTCATAGGTACTTTCTTTAAACAAACGATACATGTGCGAGTCGTACAGACGTGATTCAGACGTTTATTTTGGGGAGAGACAAAGACAGCGATATGCACTTCACTGCATAAACAGTTTTATCAATAATTTCTTTAATATGATTCAACACAGGAGAACCCGGCCAGCTCAGGGAGAAGAAAACAAGTTAGTCGAGATACCGGGAGTCCGAGTCACCTTGGAACAAATGACTGAAAAATTGTCTGAAAAAAGATGCCTTTCACATTGGTAAGCGGAAACCGAATTAAAGCTGGCGAAGTTCTGCTTTCCCGTTGTAATTACGTAAAATTACTGGAAACGAAGTACTGTTGTTTGTCCCACGATGCACTCACTTCCAGTATAGATCGCAGCGTTTCATTGTGCTTCCCCATGCGACAAGATCGACTGGATGACACGGCACGTCAACTCATTTGAATTATTATGCTCAACTGTGATTGACGCCGAGAATAATGCTTCATAAGACCTTTATGGTGACGGTAGACAGTCGACCCTATCGAATGCCAAGAGTCTCATGGTAGAGTCGAAACGTATCAATCCTCATCAGAAACGACATTATGGTGAGAGAAACAACGACATTTCATTACGAACACTCCATTATTCCGCTGTTTGATTTCCAAGCGCTCTATAACTTCTGTTGCATTTCTCTTTTAAGTCCTGTCACCTCCTTTTAGGCCCCTTTTTGGCGGACTTACATCGGCCCCCAGACCCTGGTGCTATGTTCTGCGGACTGACTCCTCTCACTGTCATACTTTCATCAGGAGTCAATCGCGTCAGAGATATTCTCCTTTGTGAGAAGTAACTTTTACCAGGGGATATACCCTTACTTAACGCCTTATCAACATCTGAGTCAATTAACTTGGCTTTTGCTTTCGCTTTAACAAAATGAGCCTTGCAAGGCGGTTCAAACGTCCTCGCTAATTCTACAATGTCGTAACATTCCGAAGCCTTGAGCGCGTACTGACTGCGAAGGGCATGGTACGAGGTTGCCACATCCCGCGGGCTGGTGCACGTCGACTTAGGAGAAACCGCTGGTTTCGGGTGGCACGCTTCGCAAGGTGGTGATTTAAATACGGGCGGTTTTTTGCTGTCAACCGTGTGCGTGTTTGCAGACGGTCTAGGGAACTTTCTAGAGTTGTAACTGTTAGTTTTCAAGCTGGATGAATGAGTTCGAGTTTTTGGCACTGGTCTTGCCTCGGGATAAAGTGAGCCAGGGACAAATGTAATACCTAACTGGTATCCACTATTACGGAAAGTTTGTACGCTATCCGATCCATCATCCGAAGCGGAAATGCCATTATTGGACGAAGTATTCTTTCCCGCCGATGATGTTCGTCTCAGTCTGTTGACGGCAGATTTCGCTCGGTACAACTGCGGTGCGCTGACTTTAGCAGACTGAGTCCTTGAGTTAAACTTTCCACCGAATACAACTCGGTTCGAGAATCCTTTGGCCGAGTTTGAAGTTTCAGCTTTCTCTTCTTTGTATATTTCCCACAAAACAGTTTCCTCTCTCAGATTTTCCAGCTCTTGTAATCTGTGCATAAACAGATCATTCTTTTTTGATCCTCGAAAGCACGCATCTTCAGCAGTCTCCTCGACCCACGTTTCCGGATAAGGGTCATGGAATTTAAAGCCCAATTGCTCGGTGGACAGTTCCTCTGGAACAAACAATTCTTCGAACTGGGGATCATTTTCCTCCCATTCTTCCTTTGCTTTGGCATCAGCTTCAGCCAACTGCTGTTGGAGTTTTTTAGGATCTGGACCCTTCCCTGTGCGTTTGGTTCCAGTGCGAGAAGACGGACGTAAAGTTGGAGAAGGGGAAGAAGTACGCGAAGGAGGTACTGATGATAAAGGGCGGGGAGGGGATGGACTGCTGGTACTCCTGAAATAGAACGAAAATGAGTTCAGTTCCCGAAATGGCAAAATAAGAATTCAATTTGTTCTTAACCCTCTGACCTCTAAGAGCGAGTAGCATGTAATTTCTCCTTACTGCATCACCCCGAGCCATTAAGGTTGTGAAAATAGAGGAAATGATCACCAGCTAGAGAAGCGTTTGAGTGTCAGCACTATAGGAAATGTATAAAGGAAATTATGCAGAATGTATAAACTGATGTTAGGATGTAAATGGTTATCTATCATCGGATGTGGCGAGGTTAAAGCGTCAAGTCTAGTACACGTGCAAAGCAGCATGAAGCCACGAGAAGAGAGGTTCGTAATTTCCTCGCCCAACTTTGTATACCTGTCATGTCGACTGCAGGGTCTTGTAAGGTAGCTAGCACAGGTTGGTCCTAAGTCGTTACACGGTTCATGTGGAGCTTCCGTGGCCGGGATCTCTCTCTTACTCATGGCTGCTGCCAGCTGACTACGGCGAAGAGCAGGGCTTGCTATACCTTCATTGTTCATGTGGTGCTGTGGAGGATGACGTGAACACGTTTTGTAAATCTTCGAAAATTCATTCAATTTAACTTTCAAAAATAGTCAGTAGCACCCAAGCAGCGCGCTGGGGTTAAATGTTGGGGTGTGTCGCGCATATTTTAACCAAAAGTATAAGCTACTTTCATTGAATGACTCTGGAATGCGCGTTTACCAAATTAACTAACTCCTCTCAACAGACTTCGACTACTATCGGCACCATACAAACGACTAATTATCGTAAAAATCGAACCGAACCGTTCGTGCCACTACCACCAAATTTTACCTACGGATCAAAACTGACTTATCACGACCATCTTACGCTACCCGAGTCTTAAAACTGATAACTTAACGAAAAACTGACCGATCAGTTTACACGAACCAGACTTGTAACACTCGACTGGCAAACAACTCTTCCCTTGACTCTGATGATTAGATACGCTAAGGTGGTCGAAAAATCGTTCAACACTTACGAATACAGTCCTTCACCATACTAAGTTCACCCGGACGTTCAAACTACATGATCGAATGGTTCAAATCACTAACTGAAATCCATGGAGCGAAGTGATACCAACAAACTTGCCGATACTTTCAGCGAAAACTGTGATTGCTCCTGAGATTGTCGAGAAACGCCATCCAGCCCAAGTCATTTTATGGAGCCAAAAGAAAAAGAGACGACCCGTAATGACGTTTCTTATTAAAACCTTAGGTTTCATTGAAAGTCTTCGAGTTGAAGTACGTTCGCCGAGTAAGAGCGCAAGCATCATGTGTTTCAAAGATAAACATATTAAGGCTGAAAATCTAAGTAACACGAGGTACTAATGATAAATTGATAACAGTCATTGAAGGAAAAATAGAAGAATTTAACAGGTCTTACCGGTACTAATTTGATAGTACTAAGGAACGAAATCAAAAAAAGCCATCTCATTCAAACATTTGAATTCTGCATAAGGTATGACGTTCAAAACAATTCACATTAATTGTCACTCAAGCCACACGTACATGCTAGCTACTGACTAAAGGTTTCTTAGGCAACTGAAAAGCCTCTTTACATGCGAGAAACTCGAATTAGCTCGCTGGTTTTACAAAACAGGATGAGGAAATTTTTCGATTTTCAAAAGGCAGAGGAGACAAGCGCACAAGCATTATGAATTCCATTCTCTTAGAAGAGAAAGTGTACCTCAGTTCGTGTGTAA